AATAGATTCCTGTCAGTACAACACACAAGCAAATATCAGCGGCCCCTGAAATGCTAAAAGTGGGGCGAGGACTGAATGAATCACCCCACATCCACTGGTCACAGGGTGATAAAAGTCGGCCTAGGCTGCCTTTGGGTGTGGTTGGGGAGAGGCGGATGTCATCAGGGTGGGGGCCTGGGTGCTTCTGAGGACGCGGGTCTCCCAAGGGAGGTGGGTTCTCCATGTGTTATCACCACATGGACAACATCTGCCCACATCATCACCTGCATGTGCTGCACCAGCCAGAAGCAACAGCTTTTTGGGAAGAAAAACTTAATGGTCGTAAAAAACACTGATGTGGTCATCAGTCAAAGAGTGCAGTCCAGGGCTGCTCAGTCTCAGTGGTCCAGCATTTAAAAATCCTATGCACAAGGGAAAGACTGGAGGGGATGCACCAACATGGTAGTATCATCGGGTTTCTTCTCCATGCGCTCTCGCTGGTTACCTGGTTGATCCTGACAGCAGCCCTGGTGGCTAGATGGTCCTAGCTGCAGATGGGGCGTGAAGTCCCTGCCAGCTGGCAGAAGCCGCAGGTGGGCTCAGGTCTGAGTCCAGTTGATCGTCCAGCCATGGGGACCCAGTCCTGGATGTCCCAGGTTCCGGACCCCCATTTTCAAATGCAAATGTCTGCACCCTAGGCTTTGACCCTGTCAGGGGGGTATGTGTGTGGCTACTCAAGATCCCGAACCCACCAGGGTGTTCTGCTCTCCAGCATGGCAGCAAGTCCACAGTCAGTTCCTTGGAAAGGTCAAGAGATGAGTGTTCAGACCACAAGCGGTGGTCGAACATTTCCCAGCTGTGGTTTTGGAGGGGAGAGCGGTGCCTAAAGGGGTCTGCCTCTGTGCTGTCAATGCCTCCCCGATGCCCCAGCAACCTGGGGAGAGGATTCCAGGGCCTGGCAGGACGGCCCCAGCAGAGGCTCTCCACCAAGCCCCTTAGATCTAGCCAGGACCCCCCATTTCAGAGCAGTGGGGCCTTAGAAAGGGGGTGCCTTGCTCAACACCAAAGGCAGAACCAGACCAGAATCTGAATTGCCTGCTCCCGGACTGGTCACTGTGTGCTGGGGCTTTGGAGCTGGACGCACTGGCCCGTCCTGCACGGGGAGAACCCCAGGGGGCGCTGGAGCTGCTGGGGGGAGAGTGGGGCTCAATCTGTGGACTCTGCGTGGAGTAGGACCCCTGCTTCCCTGGAGGCATTCATCCCCGATGCAGTCCAGCTTCATCCACACTGAAGTGCCACTGTCCATGGAGAGATGAAGGGGCGTCTGCAGAAAGCCTGCCTTGCTTTCTAATCCACGACCCCCTGCGAGGACCGGCTGCTCCTCCACCCTGAGTGCTCCTAGTGCCTCTCCTCCCTGAGTGCTCCCAACAGCCTATGTGTCAGGTGCTGTCACTAGTGCCTTTCTCAACTGGGGAAACAGAAGCCCAGAGAAGGAAATGACTTCTCCAAGGTGACACAGGCATGGAGCTGAATGCAGAGTCCAAGCGTCAACACCAGGGTGGTGGTGCTTTCCTGGGGGGCCCATTCTGGGGGCTCCTAAGTTAGTAACCTCCCTCAAACTGGCTTTCTAGAAAGCGTGGGCTTCGGAAAACAGAACAGAGAAGAAGAAAGTCCACCCCACTCCCTTCCTGAGATACAGAGAGGGCTGAGCAAGCAGCTCTGGGAGGCCAGGAGCCCTGCTGTTCCCAGGACTGAGTGTAACCCATGTTTCACTTGTTCCTTGCACTCTGGAAGAAATACGGTCAGAGAGAAGGGTGGCGGAGGGAGTGGGAAAGGCTGGTCCCTGGACGGATGCATGGAATGCTGAAACCTTTGAATATCTGGAACTTACTTTTTTTCTCCTTTGCTTTTGGCTTCCTGCAATGTTTTGGTGTTTAGATCAGTTGCCACGTGTGGGTTGTTTTTAGCCTTCCCCACCCCTTTTAACTGTTTTCCCTGCCTTTTGCACAAGCCACGGCATGGTCTCAGTCCTTATCTCACTCAAGAAAACATACCAGGCAGATCCAAATGTGGCTCCCGGGGCCACCTCCAGTCACCTTGCTCCAGCCTCCCCGCCTCCCTGGATTAGCCCAAACTCAGCCTGGCTGGGTGCTCCTTCCCAGAGGAGGGAGTTGCCTTCTTGGGGAGGTGGGGGAGGGGAGGGGTTTTTCCTGCCCTCCTGTAGAGGGGCCGTGAGTCTATTGGACATGGTGACATTAACTTCGGGGTAAATCTGGGGTGCAGCACTCACTGCCCATCTCCCCAGGGGAGTCGTGTCCATGGGGGTCCCCTTTCAACTGCCCTTTCCAGTCTCTCCCGCGCCCCGGTAGGTCACAGTTCTGGGGGTTGGGGGCCGGCTGGAGCAGGCTAGCTGGTGTTTTCCTAGAAGATCTTCAGCCCACCAGGTGGTCCTATTTCTCAGTTCAGAGTCTGTATTAATAGGAGGGGCCGGCTGGGCGCGATCAGCCCGGTCTGCCGACAGCGAAGCAACCGGGAGATTCAAAACCAACAATTACTAGAGTGAAGCCAGAACGATCAGAGGGCCGGGGCAGGATGGTAATAAAAATAAACCAACCCGGGATGTGGACTTCTCCCTTAATTCCCCGCCCTGGATTGTTGGAGGAGCCCGGCGGGACTGTTTGTCCACCCTCGCCCTGAGCTAAGGGCACGCAGGCCCCGCAAGAATGGCCGGGGTGGGACAACGGAATCAGGGTTTAAAATGTAAACCGGGTAAAGAGTTCTGTAGGAGGGTCACAGAGGAGGGGAAACCCGGGAACGCGTTCCCGTGTTTGCCCTCATCATCTTGCTTCAAGGAATAAAGGAGCCATGTATTCCAGCACAGTAGGTAAGTACACGCGCAGATAACCCCAGATAACTTTCATTTAACTTTACGGACGCCTTCCTTCTCGTCTAGCCGCCGACTTCTAGAGGCTGTGCCGACACGCCCGAGGTTTACCTGCTGCCCGGGATTTACCTGCCCGCGCAGTGGCTGGAGAACAGTGTGTGGGGGTGTGGGCGGGGAGGGTGGGGCGGGAGAGCCGTTACCAGGGCGAAAAGCAAAACTAAACAATCGCCCCACGCTTGCTGCGCCCGCCGCTGGAAACCCTCCTGCTGCCAGAGCTGCTCCCTGGGAACCCAGCGTGGAACCCCGGGGCGACCCCACAGGCGGGAAGGGGGTGCTGGTGCGGGGAGCCGGGAGGCAGCTGTCCGCCTTGTCCTGGACGCGAAACTGGGGCGGTGGGGTGGGAGGTGGTGTGGGGGAGAGGAACCCGGCGCCGGGGACTCTGCACCCTCCCCCTCCAGGCTGCGAGGCAGTGAGAGAAGTTGGGGAGCTGAACATAGATCCCCCAGGGGTGGGAGAAGGAAGGGAGGAGAGAGAAGGGACAGATTGGAGGGACAGACTGCCCAGGGCTGCTGGCGACACCCTGGCAAGGCACTTCTCCAGTTCTTACCCCAAATTACCAAATCATGATCTTCGATCGCCCCGCTCCCAGGATGCAGATGAAGCAGGTGTTTCTGTCCTGGGCTGAGCCCCCACTCCCCTCGGGCGCGCATGGGTATCCCTCCCAAGCTGGTTCCAAACGCCGCGGGTCACGCTCGCGCCCACATATACCCGCCGAGGGGACTTGGACGTTCGCGAGTTCTGACGCTCTGAGGCCCAGGCAGCTGGGGTGGGGTGGGGAGGGGTGGGGGGCCTCTGAACCGGGAAATCGTTTGTAAAGGTCATATCGAGTTCTGCAGAAGCCTGGGCTGGAATCCCGGGCCTCGCGATCCCGCCCTTCCCGCCACCCCGGCTTGCTGCGGGGCCTCTCCGTGCGCCGGGTCCGCGCCCTGGGTTCCCAGCCGCCCCGCTCTTCCCGCAGGAAAACACGCGAAAACCAAAGTTTTTTTTTTTTTTTTCCCTTAAATGAGCGCGAGGTGACCCCCGCCCCACCCGGCCGCGCGAAGAAAGCGCCTCCTTCTGCCTCCTGCCCCTGGGGTCTGCGCACCCGCCGCCTCCTGGGCCTGAGTGGCTCTCAGGTCTCCTCGTCCCGTGGCCTTGTTGATTTACTGTCAATTTCCGCACGCTTTGTGGCTGTTCAAAACGCCCAACCCTCGCGATCCCACCTCTAGCCCTCGCCTGGGAGTGGGGATCCCCACCCACCCCCGGACCGCTCGGCGTGTGGGGTGTGCGGGGCTGCGGGCGCACGGCGCGGCCCGACCGCTGCCCCCCGCGCTCGGGTTGACCCGAGACGTCTCGCGGGCCCCATCGCCGAGGTCACCCGGCTGGTAACGGTGCGGCTTCGCCCGCGGGCGCCTTCGGCACCTCTCCCCCCCGAGGCTACCGCCACGGTTCCCACCCCGCCCCTGCCGGAGACCCGGGCGTTGGGCGGGGGAAGGGGTGCTTTCCTGAAGCCCCAGAAAATGACCACGCATTTTAGAGAAAGGTCGTGCCCGCTTCCCAGACTCACCTAGTCTGGGCAGCGGCCAGGACCCGCCCCTACACCTCCCACCCCCCTGCGGAGGGAGAGATGCCAGCGCGGTGGAGTCATGCCGCTGGCCTGGGCACCATTGGCTCATGCCTGGAACACGCAGCGGCCAGCGCGCACCTCTGGCGGCCAGCCCGGGCGGCTCCGGCCCTGATATGGAGCGAGAGGGCGGGCGGGAGAGCGTCGGAGCGGGCCGGCCGGAGCAGGCTCCTCCCAGAGCTTGCATCACCAGCCCCTCCCGCCTCCCCTCGCCCGCCCCCCGGCCCGCCTCGCCTCGCCTCGTCGGCGGGTTCTAGGGAGAAGCTATTAATAGCATTACGTCAGCCTCGGACTTGTAGAGTGGGCGCGTTGCCAGTCCCGGGGCTATAAAAGGGGTGATGCAACGCGCTCACGGACACAGCCGCGCTCAGCCCGGCGCGCACCACCTCGCGCTCGCCCCGCGCCGCCGCCGGAGCCCACCGCCCGCCGGTGCCCCAAGCCCCGGGACTGACAGCGAGACCCGCCCGCCTCCCGGACCCTGGCCGCCCCGCGCGGACACTGGAGGTGAGCGCAGGCTTCCGAGGGGGCGAGCGCGGCGAGGGGCTCCCGGCTTTCGCTTTGCGCCCCTGGGATAACCCGCGCCCCGCGCCCACCCGCGCCTTCAGCCCCGGCGGGAACACCCCTCTGGCTGAACTACCAGCCTCCGCGGCGCCTCCGCGTCACGGAAAGTTTCTCCCAAAGAACTTTCTCTTTTAACTTGGGGTTCGAAAGGCTCCCGGCGACAGAGAGGTCGGGCTCCCGCCGCTCCACCCGCTCGGGGCACCGCTCCTCCGCCCGCCGCGCGGACTTAGCCGGTGAGAGCCGGCGGCACTGGGTGCGCGGGGGTCCCGGGCGGTGGGGGCGCCGTCCGGCTCCGTCCGTCTCTCGGCTCAGGGCACGGTCACTCCCGATCCCATCCCTCCGAAGTCCGCCGAGGGACGGCCTGGGACCCGACGGGATGAATGGCGCGGGGCCGGGCGAGCGGGGAGCTGGGGAGAAGTTAGCGGGGTGAGTTTAGAGGAGGGGCGCGCTCGGGTGCCGGGGTCGCGGTCCGGGACGCACCGCGGGGAGGGCTCCGGCGCAGGCGGGCTGGGGTGTCCTGTTTCGAGTCTGTCACACGCTTTCTTTCCTACCTGTGGCTCGAGCTCTGGTTCTTCCCGCGCCGGGTTGCGGATTTCTCTGCTTCTCGGCCTGGAAGGCCCGCTGCTGGGGGCAACCGCGGGGGAGGGGAGCGGGGTGGGGGGGCGAAGTCGGTGGAGAGATAATAGAGGGAACGGCGGGATGTCCAGTGGCCAGACCCCGAGAGCTCACACGCCCTCGTGTCCTTGCGCCCGTCCCGGCTGGGCAGGTGGGCACAGACACGCGCCCCTCTGCCCGTTTGCAGGTGGTGCTCGGACCATCACCAGAAAGGTCCTTTCCGGAGAAGTTTTCCAGATTCTAGAGCATAGCTGTAGGGAAAGGGGTCGGTGAGAGGACCTGGATGAGGGGTCTCTAATGTCACCCCCAGCCTCTTAGGCAGTGGAGTTAAGGGGACTTCCCTTTAGGTTAGCGCTTCTCCAGCTTTCTCTCCTTGGGTTGGCTCTCCTCTGCTCCCCGCCCCCCATTTCAGCTCATCTTCTTCCTTCCCTGCACACCACTTCCTTTTCCCTAACTCTATCTCCTGGATCTCATAATCTCCCTTACAAATAAAGGTGTTGCTGAATCCTGGAGGAAAAAAAACTGGGAGACTAGAAAATCTGGGTGCACCTGTTTCAGTGCCGGCCTCTGTCTCCCCAACTTTCAAGGAAGGGGAACTTGGTATCGCAGCCCTCTTGGCTTTCAGTGTCTGTTGTGCAATAATGCTGCACCATATCATGCTCGCTTTTGTGGCTCTCCTGGACAAAGACTGGGGTATGGGTGTGCTTGCAGGGATCCCTGCCTGGGTGGGGAGCAGCACCCAGGCTGGTGCGTGGATGAGACGGAGCCCCTTTGTGACAACCCCTGGAGCTTTGGGGTTCCTCCCATCTCTATCTCTTTCTCCCTTCCCCACCCCCCTTTTCTTGCTTATCTTCTTCCCTCTAACCTCCTGGCCTTAGTTCTGGCCAAGTCTCCTGGGGTGAGTGCCAGGTTTCCAGGACGACTGACACCTCATCTCTGTCTGAGCCAGTGGGTCTCGCGGTGCTGGACCCATTGCTGATTGGACCAGCTTGGCATGGGCCAGGCCACTCGCCAGCTCTAAGGCCATGGCAGGTCTGGCCACCGCGCTGGACCTTTTGACTCCATCACAGTGTGAGGACCTGAGCGATGACACTGATGTCCAGTGTTCCATTGCATCCCATGGAACCCCAGATATCTTCCTGTTTCAACTTGGGGCCTGGGCTCAGAACAGGGTCAGTGTGACCATGGTGGAGGAGGAAGTACATGGCCACAGAAACTCTTTAAGGGAGTGATGGTTTCCGCGTGCAAGAACGGGTTCTTTCGCGAGCACATCAGCCCAGTGGAGATGGCACAGAGTAGGATGGACTCGACCTGGGGTCAAAGTGTCAGGAGCCCAGACGTCCGTCCCCTGCAAAAGAAGCCAGGCTGGCCCACATTCTTGCAGCTTCCAGTTAATTCTGGGTTAAGGGGCTAAACTGCCTGAACGACATTCTAAGTCCCTGTGAAATGAGGAGAGTGGGGCCCTGGTGAAATGGCTGCCCAGAGATGTGCGGGACAGCCTTGAGGGACCTTCGATCTCCCAGACAGCGCTGCGAGGGACAGGGCAGGCAGCACGGGTCGTTTTACAGACTTGGAGACTGAGGTCAGAAAGGTGAGCAGCTGCAGGTGGGCGTTCAGCGCAACAGGCCTGCCCTCAGGTGACACCCGGCCTTCTAGTGGCTGGGAGACGCGCCCCCTGATGGCTGCAGAGACCCACTGGCCTCCCTTTGCAAGATGTCTCATGAGCTTCGTGGCACAAGACGAAAATTAAAAGTGAAAATTCAGCCTCGTTGTGACTACTAGGAAATAAAACCTGGGAGCAGAATTTCCAGTTAGAGAAATTCATGAGTAAAGTTTCACTTTCTTGAAAATGATGAAACTGCCAACTGTATGACATGATTTCTGATCAGAAGCTCTGAAGCAGAAGCCCAGGGAGCGCAGGGCGTGAGCAGGACGAGTGCCAGGCCCAGGCAGAAAGTCCACCCAGAAACCCCCATGCAGATTCCATGTTCTGAGAGGGGCTCCGGCTTCTGAAAGCTGCCTGAGGATTTCACTTCATTTTCCAAGTGAGAACAGCCTGACACCGACTTGAATCTTGAGAATTAGCCAAGAGGGTCTCAGGAAAACCCACCGATGCAATTTTCTGGGGACTTTTCACATTTTTACAACCCGTTTCCATCCCCAAGTCAGCCCATTGGATGCTTTCAATAAAAGCATTCCACGCCATTGACATGGTCCAGCTTCTTTTATCAGAGCTGCTGGTTTTACACTGTTGGGGGTGGGGATCCCCAACAGCAGACCCCACACCCTGACAGCTCATTAATAAGTTGAGCTGCAGGGTGTGAGAATTCCCAGCACTGCGTGGGAAGCAGGTGTCCCCACTGTAGCCCTAGCACCATCCCCACCCTGTTGGGGTTCAAGATGGTTGGCAAGGGAGGGAACCATGAATGCATGGGAGACTCTTGAGCCTCTGGCTTTAGAAGGCTGGTTTCTCAGAGTTTATCACCTGCTCCAGATGCTCCTCCCAGGAACCTAAGATGAGAGGATTAGAACATCATACTGACTCACTACCGGGCTTTGGGGAGAGGACTGTGCCCCTCTCCTGGGCCTCCTTTGTGCTATCCCGTGGCGCCCGAGGGCCCGGAGCACTTACCTCCATCAGAGTGCCCCAGATATTAAAGGGGGACTGAGAAGCAGGATGCTCTACTCAAAAATGTTTGGGATCAAAGAGTGTGACCACCCTGTGCCCTGCCACCTGGACCCCACAGAGCGTCCAGCAGACACCAGTCCCGGCTGAGTGACCCCGGGGGCCAGGAGTTTTGGATCTGCCAGCCACAGCATGTTCTCCAAGACAGATGCATGGATCAGCCCCGCAACTTCCTGCGCAAGCCAACAGGGATCGAGATGGGGTGTCTGCTACCAGCTCTCTCCTGCCGGGGAGAAGGCAGGCGCTGGAAGGGGCAGCATGACCCACGAGTCCATGACCTCGGGCCTAGAGCTGCGGAGCCCAGTCTGGCATTATGTGGGTAAAAGGCCCCCCTCTACCTTCCCCAGGACACGTGCAGCCCTGAGCACGCCCTCAACATGGACAGGCCAACAGGTCATCAGAGAGGTCAAGTGTGACTCCTTGCTCTGCCTCCCCTGTCACTTCAGCTCCAGGACCTATGCCCACCCACGCCCCCCGAGTTTGCCCCCTGTGGCCGGTTGGTTTCTGCAGTACCGCATCCCGTAAGGAGCACTGGACACAACCCAAAATCCAGGACCTGACGCTGCCTCCAACCAACTCTGCGACTCTCTGCTTGTCTAAACCTCTTACCTCAGCTGTAAAATGGGCAGCCTGAGCCCTCTTGTCCACGTGAGGATGAAACAAGCTGATGCACGGGCAGTTCCTGGTTCCAGGAGGTACCTGGTAGATGTTCAAGGTGTGCCAAAGGCCTGGACTCAGCTAGTGACTACAGGGTCCTGGATGGAGAGCCATGCTCCAGGCCTCCCACCACACTCCCCCCAGGAGAGCTGGCCGGAGGAGGGAGAGGGACGTACCAGCAGGAAGAGGATTGTGACCTCCTATCCCAGAACACCCGTTCCAAGGCCCCACTGGGAGCCTGAACAACTAATACCAAACCCAGATGCACAGTGTTATTTCCTATCAGTACAGACCTAACAGAAAGTTGAATTTATAAGTCAGGCACCATAAGAGATGAACAAGAACTAAGAATAAAATAGAGCAAGTATAATAGCCTGTCGTAGAAGTCATGTGGAGTCTCGTGGTCTCTCTTGAAATATCCTATTGTATGTAGTATTTTTGGACCGCATTTGCCCATGGGTAACCCTTGGAGGATGAATCTGAAGCTGAGGGGGGATTACTGTTTATGGCAGGGAGACATGGGTGGTGGTGCATGTAACTCTTACTATTTCTACCCTTTATTTTCCCCTCATCCCTTTAGGTTCTCTGGGCTGTGGGTGGGACCTCAGAGGCCACTGATAGCCACCCCCTCCCCAGGACAACCATTCAGTTTTGCCCCTAGGGCTCAGCAGGCATGGGGGTGGGGGTTATAGAGCCCTGGTGGAGACTTCAACCCCCTGGCTCCAGCTCTTGCCAGAGAGGGGCGAGACTCACTTGAGCTGGGGCACGTGGCTTTTTAGCCCCAGAGCTGGTCCCAGGCTCCCCTCCTGACCCCACGAGGCTGACCAGCACCCCTGAAGGAGTCCAAATTCCTATCTCTCCACTTTGCTTTATTCTGACGTCTTTTGCATCACCGACCGCCACCTTGTCCAGGGTCTCAAGGATTGCCCTTGTGACCTGAGTCCCCCCAAAACCCTGCCAGGGTTTGAGGTAGAGACATACCTGTTACTTTTCCTGTTGAATTTACTTCCCCCCGAGAAATCGGGGGCATTATTTGCTCACTTCAAGGGCCCCCCACTCTACTTTTTCTCCCACTCACTGATAGATTTGAGCAGATTTCAGATGCCCTCCAGGTTTCTTCTTGAGGAGAGACTGAAAACAGTGTCGCACAATAGTCTCCCTGCTGTGGGTTGCTCTTCCTCCTGAGCAGCTTGAGGCCATACTCACCACACTCTGGGCACGCAGGGGAACGCTCCTTGGCACCTCAGTGGGCATTTTATCCTTATCACTGAGCCATGTGTTTTTATTTTTTTTAAAGATTTATTTATTTATGAATACAAAAACTGGGGTACAGGCCAGAGGTGCAGGGGGTGAGAGGATTCACCGTAGACAAAGTGGGGAGTGGAACAGGCAGATTGACTGAAATCCACTGCTGAGGGGAGCAGCGGGGAGACAGGAGAGGTCTGCTGCGCCATGTGGGTAGCTCCCTGGCCGGGGATGGAACTCGTGCTGCAGAGGCTGCGGACAGCTTCATAGGTTGCGTCTTAACCCCTTGCGCCACCAGGGAAACCCGCTGTGTGTTTTTAAAACCCCTGTGCTCAAGGTGAGGCTGGTGTGAGGTGAAAACCAGAAAAGCCAGGGGCTTCCAGGACTGTCCTCTTGGGGGCTCTAGTCTTGGAGGTTGGAGGGGAGGACTGTGGGTGGGGAGACTCCATGCCATGTCCCCAAATCCTTAAAGCAGTTTGGGTTTCTGTGTGTCTTTCAGCAAAATGATGCTTCAACACCCAGGCCAGGTCTCTGCCTCAGAAGTCAGCGCCTCGGCTGTGGTGCCCTGCCTGTCCCCTCCTGGCTCGCTCGTGTTTGAGGATTTCGCTAACCTGACCCCTTTTGTCAAGGAAGAGCTGAGGTTCGCCATCCAGAACAAGCACCTGTGCCAGCAGATGTCCTCGGCGCTGGAGTCGGTCACGGTCAGCAGCAGACCCCTCGAGATGGCGGTCACCAAAGCCGAGGTAAGGGCTTCTCCCATGGGCACCCTCTCAACACTGCCCTCCCTCTGCCGCCCACTGCCCTCCAGGGTCCAGTGTGCACAGGCCTCATCCTCGAACAAAAAGAACAAAACCCAGGAAACCATTGCCTCAGGGAGCATCCCCAAATCAGTAATGTGCAGCGTGAGATGGGTGGGGTCAAGGAGGGAACTGCGTGCAGCAGGAGGGGCCGGGAGTGGTGGGATTGGCTTGCCTTCAATCAGGCGGTTGGGCAGGCCTGGGAGAGAATGGTCTTTGGGCAGTGACTCAGGGAGGAGAGGCACAGTCTTTGGCAAAAGAACAAGAACAGGACCCTGAGGGGCTGTGGTGGGACACGGGGTCAGAGTGGCAGGTGGCGGTGCGGAATGGGGACAGGGAGCAAGTAGGAGCCATGGGAGTGGGTGCAGGGGGACCTGCAGGTCTCGTGGGCCTGTGCTCTGAGAGTGGGCAGCAGGAGCAGTCATCAGAGCACTTATAAATGGGCATCAGGTGCCCACAGCGCTCAGCTTCCATCTTGGAGACCAAGTTGGTTTACTGACCAGTGGGACTGGCAGAGAGGAGGAAGGACTCGGGGTCTGTGTGGCAGTGAGGGAGCACCCATCTGCGGTGGGAGGATTGGCGCCCTGCTGCGCCCCGGTGGAGGAGGGCTGGGAGCCCAAAGGACAGTCGGGGCAGAGGTGGGGTCTCAGCACAGGGAGGATATTTAAAGCCAGGAGTCATGTGAGCTCCTCGTGTCCAGTCTGCCACTGTGCAGGTGGGGTTGAGAACTCCCGGGCTGGTGGCCGGACTGCACCCCCAAAACCACAGCCCCTTGGAAGGGGCCCGTCTGTCTCTGACCCTGGCACCGCTGCCTACACAGCCACCTCTTCCCAGACACCTGGGGTCACAGATCAGGAGAGGGTCCGGGAGTTGGTGGCCATGACCTGGACCAAGGTCTTGACCTTGACGGCACGGTTGAGCCGGCAGGCCCAGGTAAAGGAAATGGCCCAGAGACTGAGCTCGAGGCAGCTGGTTCTGTCAGGTGGTTGGCAGACGTGAGCCAGCAGCAGACTGACCTGCTGAGGGTCTGGCCGAGGCCTGTCGAGAGCTGGCCTGTGGGGTGGCCTCGGGGCCAACGGCGGAGCACATTGGGGGCAGCCTGAGGGGCACCGGCTATGTCCCCGCTGGCCTCCAGGAAGGCCCTAGGGCCCAGTCTGACATTGGACATCATAGGGCGGGCCTGGGACACCTGAGGACATGTTTTCTAAGTTTCTAATTATATACGTTGAGGCAACAGGTGAGTGGAGCGGGCGATCCCCGCATGAGGAAGGGAAGCACTGAGAAGGCTGAGCGGTGTGAGCCGGGGTCCTCAGTTTAGTCTAAACCATCTGCCTGGGAGTAAGGCAGAGGCCTCTCCCACTTCCCCTGGACTCTGCTTCTCCACACCGCCAGGCCTGCCCAGCAGAGCCAGTGCCGTGCCCCCAGAGGACGCGAGGGACCTGGTGTCCAGGAGCTCCTCGGTGCCAGCTGTGGCTGTGGGGCCCTGTCTTGCTGTCACAACTGTGACAAGCGACAGGACAGACCCGAAACCATCACCCCTCAGCCACAATAAGGGCTGCACCCCACCCTTAAAGCGAACCCAGGGCTGGCGTTGCCCCTCCGCCAGGATGCTCCCTGGAAGACCAGCTCTTCAGGCAGGATGGGGCGTGTCCTGAGGGCCCTCAGGACTGACTGGGGGGTGGAGGATGAGCAAGAGATCAGTATTTACTGCTGAACCATGGGCGATTTTAGCTCCCACCGCCCAGCAGCTGCGGGGGCTTCTCCTGAATTCTAGAAGGAGGTGCCATGAGGCTCCAGGTGAAGTGGAGGGAGATGGTGGGGCTGCCCTTAGGTCGAGTCAAAGCGGCTGGGGAAAAGTTGGCCAGGCTGTTGTAGGGCAGGGAGAGGGCCACCCCAGAACCCCTAAACCTGCCTGCTCTGAATAGTTTCTGCCATCCCCCACATCAAGACAAAACATATAAGACCTTTAATGGAAAGGAACAATACAGAAAAGACAAAGAATATAGTTTCTAAATTAAGTACCCAAAGTTACCTGTTCTCCTAGTGGGTAAAAGTCCCACTGAATGGGACTGGCCCAGAGCAAGGCCTGAAAACTGCCGCTGTCTAAAGCACCTTCCAGGGGGGACCCACAGGAAAGGGTCAGAAATAGCCAGACAAGTCTGGGAGGAAAAGAGCAAAATCAAAATCAAGATAAGTAACGTTCCTGAGATGATTTCAGGGTCTAGGGGGTGGACATATTTATCAAAGGGGGCATGTTTCCTGCTTAAGCGGGTACAGTTACTACCAACTACCAGTTATCAGTGTGACTACCATAATCTTATTTCTAAATCCAAACGCATCTTTAAAGGAAGCTGAATTTTAAGTTACAAATATCACCAGTGCACTCTCAACTAATGGTTGTTTCATTTTCATTATTCATTCTTAAGCATGGGGTGGGGGCTGTGACTTTCGGAGTCCTTTAGCATCAGGCTGCCTCTGCTTGCCTGATTTTGCTGGCAGTAAGGGCAAGAGGGTCGAAGCCCTTCATCCCAGTAATTGTGTGCCCTGTGGATTTTCTAGGTCGCCCCTGAAGAAGATGAGAGGAAAAAGAGGCGACGGGAAAGAAATAAGATTGCAGCCGCCAAGTGCCGGAACAAGAAGAAGGAGAAGACGGAGTGTCTGCAGAAGGTGAGCGTGGCCTAGCCCCGGGCTCCTCCTCACCCTATGGCCCAAGGGGCTTAAAAGCCCCCACGCAGAAGTACTTTCCCAAGAAGGGCGTTGTCACTGTTCCCAGAAACGCCAGGGGTGGGAGGAGGCAGACGCAAAGGTTTATCTCAGCCAATGAGACTCAGGCATGGAAGCAGGTGTATGTGAAACCACAGAGTGCCCGGTGCCCACATTCTTGCAGGCCTGGCCCGTCCCCACACGTCTGGCCAGCAGTTCCAGGCCGCAGGCTGCCCGCCCAGTGAAGAGGCTTCACTTGCTCATTTTCCCAAGAAAAGGAAATGCGAGTCCCCTTTGGCTGGCTATGAAAAGCCTTTAATTAGTCTCTGCAAACAAGTTGTTTCCTTAATCCACAAGCAGCGGTTGCACTTACTTGGATTCCTGTCTGGTTCTTAGCTTAGCTGCCCTTCCTCTTCGCTCATCCCAGAGTCCGAGCCCCTGGCTACCTCTGTGAACCCCCGTCCCTGTGGGTAGGGGTACCCTGGGGCAGCCTCCCCAGCAGCTGTGTCCCCTTCCCCAGTGTGGGCCAGCCAGGCCCCTGTCCATGGCCCCCGAGGCAGTGGTTGTCTCAGCCTGTCAGTGAAAATTCAGACCCTTGTGTGAATTCTTCAGGGGAGGTGAGCTTCTCAGAAATCAGTGACTCACAGAAGCCAGTGCTGGAGACTGATCTCTTTCAGCCCGAGGCCTCCGTGGGTCCAGAGGAGCCATGCCTGGTGCTGGGCACAAAGTGGGTCTGGGCGGTGATTTCTGCTGGGGTTCCTGGCTTTGAGATCACAGCCTGCCTCTGTGGGGGAGACTCAAGGGCCTCCATGTTCAAAAGCTTCTTTGGGGTCTGGATTCCCCCACCTACTGCTGCTGACCCAGCCTGTGGGGCACTGTAGCTGGAGGCCAACAGCCCCAAGGGTCCTGGAGGCCCCTTCCCCACCTAGCCCTCCCCGGGGGCCTGGGCCCCAGAGCTGATGCCTCTGTCTTGCCCCCAGGAGTCAGAGAAGCTGGAGAGCGTGAATGCAGAGCTGAAGGCTCAAATTGAGGAACTCAAGAATGAGAAGCAGCGCCTGATCTACATGCTCAACCTGCACAGGCCCACGTGCATCGTCCGGGCGCAGAACGGGCGGACTCCGGAGGACGAGCGGAATCTTTTCATCCAACAGATAAAAGAAGGGACATTGCAGAGCTAAGCACAGGGTGCGGGGGCCAAGGGGGAGTCCTCATCGAACCCTCCTTTTCCATCCAACATCCTGAAGCCATTGGAGATCTGACTTCCTGTGCGCCTCTCAAATCCCAGCAGCAAGGCCTGTCGAGGTGGGGCCCTCGGTGACTCGGGGGCCTCCACTCTGCCCCAGAGTGGACTTGCGGCCAGGGACAGGGTCCCTCTGCCCTCCACGCCAGGATTTAGGCCTGACATAGTGGCCATTCTTGGACCCCCCAGATGGCCCCTTGGTAGGGTCCTGCCCACTTCTCATCCGGATTCTACCAAAACCAGGACCCCTACCCCTGGATTCATGCAGCAGTGTCTGTGCCTTGGGTGGATGGCAAGGACCACCTCTGCAGCAGCTGCCGCTGTCACAGACAAGGTCGTGGAGTGAGAATGGCACGTAGGAGGCCGAGCAGGCCAGGCTGAGCTTCCTCGCGTATGCGCCATGAGTGGGAGTGGACGTGGTGCAGAACATGGCTCCAGCCGCCTCGTGCTCCTCTCTCGTCTGTGTGCACATCCCGGTGTGACTTCTTCCTGACTTCCTCAGTCCTGGTTTCTGAGTGTGCGAGACGCCCTCTCCCTGAGGGTGCAGTGTCTGACAGGTGGCCGGAAGAGCTGGCCAGCCCCGGCGTCCTGCAGACTACCCAGACATCAGTCACACTCATGGGCAGATGGCGACCCTCGGTGACAAGCTCAGCAGTGGCTTCCCAGGAAGCAAGTCCTGCTCCAGGGGCTTGGGACTCTCGCTCCACCTCCAGGTCGGGGTTCTCGCTGGGCTGGAAGAGCCGAAAAACCTCCCATATTTCTTTCCTTGCCGTCAAAAGCCACCTCCAAGGGCGCTTGAGGCCCGGTGATGCCCAGGCTTTAGCATTATTGGATGTGAATGGCATTGTTTTTGTCACGCAGGTGTTGGTGGCCACTGGCCTGGAGGTCACTTGCTATGGCCGCAGAACTCTGGGCCTCAATTCTGACATTTCTGTGAAATACTCAGAGTGTTTATTCCTATTCAGTAGTATTGCTACAGTTTACTGTAAGAGAAGATATTACTTATTTATCCTTGTACTCCTAACCTGTCAAGATAATAAACATTGGACCCAGGCATGGTACATGTCACTGAGTGGTGGCTTCTGTTTGATTAGTGGGTGGGTTGTTGGGACGTGGCCACTCTTCTTCCTCCTGTCACCGGTAGTCTCAGGAGGTGTCTGTAGCATCACATATACTCCAGTTTTGGGCCTTTGTCATTTGAGGTGCTGCAGTCCCAGCCTAAGCCTCAGTCTGTGGCATCTGAGCTTCCATGTCTCATTGACAGACCCCGAAACACAGCCCCATCCACCTCCAATTAGACCTGCTGTGGGCCGTTTAGAGTTCAGATGTCAGCTCTGAATTGCTGAATACCTGACTGTCGGTTCTGTGACTGTCCAGAGGCCTGGCACACACACCTGTGGCTGAGCCTGAGCCTTGGGCACCTTCCGTTCTGCCAGAGAACTCCCCAAGGAATGGCAGGAATGACCTCGTCACCAGGTCCCAGTTGTTGTAAACATGTGCTTCCCACATTGGAATGGGAGGCGGGGAGGAAGATCCTCCCAGGTGACACGAGTGTGAACATTCCAAGAAAGGCCTTCCGCCTAGTTTTCTGGATGCTCCAGGCACACCAGCCACCCCCCAATACCCCGCCCCGCCTTGAGCCTGCGCACCAACATAACAGCCAAGGAATCAAAACCTTTGATTTTGATCAAAACCTTTGACACAGTCCTTTGAACCTGTGTCTGGTTCCTTTCAAGCCTCACCTGGTCCCAGGTATTCCTTTGTTGCTTTAATTGCACACCAGGGTTACCTAATCTGTCAAGAGCCATCTGGTGGAAGCTCCCTCATCACCCCTCTTAGCAGATAATCTGCTCACCTCATCTTGGGGGGAGGGGAGTTTGCAAGCATTTCTGTTGGTGGCTCAGGTGCCATGATGAAGCACAAGGTGATTCTTTTTTTTTTTTTTAAGATTTGTTTATTATGCATACAAGAACCTGGGTACAGGCCGGATGTGCGGGATTGTGAGAGGATTCACCAGAGAAAGAGCAGGGAACAGAACAGGCTGAGTGACTGAAGTTCACTGCTAAGGGGAACAGCAGGTGAGACAGGAGAGGTCTGCTGCACCACGTGGATATCTTGCCTGCCGGCCAGCTGGGATCAAACCCCTGCTGCAGAGGCTGTGGACAGCTTTACAGCGCTGCACTCAACCGCCTGTGCCATCAACCTGAGACAGCAGCAGATTAGAGAAGGGGGCAGAGGATTTGGCATCTGAGACAAGTGATGCATATGATTAATGAAGTTTTATTTTTGACAAATGCACTAAAAATAACTTTGTTTTCTGTAGCCAAGGTTCTATTTTGATACTTTTATTTTTTTTAAAAAAAGGATGAAGGTGTGTTTACCACCAAATTGTTGAGTTCATCTGAAGGTTGGACGTGGGGGCTGGGAGGATGAACGTGGCTGGCTCTCCACCAGTCAGGCATGCGGCCAGCCGGACAGGGGCTGCTCCTGGGGCCTCCCACAGGGGTGGTGATGTCACACTGGGGGCGCTCCCAGCTCCTGGCCATGGGTCACCGGGCCACTTCCTGAGGTCTGATACTTATTTCAGAGCAGGGAAGGGTTCTGGCACAGGACCAGGGTTCTGGAACAGAATCCTTTCACTTTCCACCAAGAACCAAGATGGTGTTTTCCATCTTTATCTTAATTTCTCCCTGTGGGCTTTAACTGGGCCCTGGAGAGCCACCTCAGGGTTTCCTCCTTCCTAGCCCCAACTCCGTAGGCCTGGGCACCGCTGGGCCGTGGGTACAGGGTACTCAGGAATCACAGTGAGTCCACACCTTCCCGGTTAGTCCTCTCCCAGCTCCTCCTGGTGCCCCTGACCCCAGAAGCATCTCTATTCTCTGGTGGAAAACCACTGTGAAGAAGGAATTCATGCAGTGGCAACTACAGAGGGGCCTGATAATGGCCAACATTCACAGAGGGAGCCGACAGGCACAAGGTCACATAGTTGACCTTCATTGAGCTGAAATCTGTGCTTCTGAACTCTAAGGGGGCCAAGCAGGGGGTACATCTCACCAGGGTTCAGCATGATCTCAGTGCTGGGCAAGCACCACCACTACCAATTCCAGAACTTTTCACTTCCCAGATGGAGCCCCCTCCCCACTCCCTGCACCCCTCAACCCTACTAGGTCTGGATTTGCCATTCTGAACAATTCCTATAAATGGCATTGCATACCATGAGGCCTGCTGTATCTGGTTCTTTCCCTGAGCATCGTGCTTTCAAGGTCCACCCACGTGGTTGGGAAACAGGGTGGTCACGGTGGGGTGGTAGGCTAGGCTGGAATGGATGCTGGAATGTCCACCCAGGCTCCAGACAAGAGCAACCAGAAAGCCCAAAAAGGCCAAAAGCCAAAACCAAGGGCTGGAGCAGTACAACACCCACTTGTAGGGGCCTGTGGGCTCGAGCCAAACAAAGGACAGTGCCCGATAAGAGGACAGGTCACTGTCTGTGGGTTCTCATCCGCGCACACAATTGCACGAGGCTTCAGGCTCAAGGAACAACCCCGGGGTTTATTTTACAACGGGGGAAAAAGAGCTCACTGTGGTCACCAGAAGCACAAGAAGAGCGCCGGCCACCTGTCAACAGAGCTGGACCACGCTGGCCAGCCGGGGTGGTCACTACTGGTCCCCCAAGGTGGTGTAAGAGACACCCAATATTAATGGCTCTCTGTGAGTTGTTGGGCAACACCAACAACAGCAGCTCTTTGAGACCCCAGGCCAGGGCCCCTGGTGCACCTTTCAGGGGATGAGAGACAGGACCGAGGCCCAGTCTCTGCAAAGGTCTTCAGCTTCTCTTCCTCCCTTGGAGGGTGGATGCTGGACACTTCTTTTCTTCTTCTTTCAAGGTCGGTATCTGGTCCTTCTTTCTCTGGAGGACAGGGACAGTGTCGTCCCCTCCTCTCTCTAGAGGCTGGAGTATCCCTCAGGCCCTCCTGCCTGGCTTACACCCTCTTTCAGGGTGTCCCACCTGAATGGACCATTTTCCAATCCTGTGGCTGATTGGACCACTTAGCACCAATCAGCTCATAGCTCACACCTGGTTGGTCCATCCCATGATCCAGGAAGTATACATAAAAGGGAGGTTGCTGGCTCCCAGGAGCCACAACCAGAACCTGTTTGTGGGGGAGCAGGTGAGAGACGCTCAATGCTGCTACTGGCTCCCGCCACTGAGGCAGCCTCAATTCCAGCATCAGGTGCACTTCTTTTCATGACTGAATAATATTCCACTGTATGGAGAGACTGCATTCTGTTTGTTCATCTGTTGATGAACGGGTCTGAATATTTTAACAAAAAGTATCCTCAAGGAATGACCCTCTACAGTGGGGTCTCAGACATAACGCCTAATGGAAGGTAAGGAGTTGGGGGCAGCATTCTCAGGACTTTCTCTAACAACTGAGAAATCACTTACTCCATGGCCAGCTATGAGGGAGGCTCTCAGGAGGTGTAGATCCACACTCCCGAAGGTACCATGTGGATATGACTGCAGACCCCTGGAACTGGGGCTCCAGCTCAGGTTACCCCAGCCCAGTTTCACTGGCAGGGAGGGGAGTCTTAGGTGAGAACAAGTAGGTGATCGCGTCTTATCTGAGAAGCCCTGGACGAGCTGGTCCCTGGTCAGCCACTGCCTAAAGCTCTGCCCAGGCCCATCACTCAGGGTGAATCATCGGCTTCTCACAGGGCACTGGTGCAGTCGTTCAGTCCAGTTTGAGCACTGGGTGGGCCTGGGCTCACTCCTTGAGGCACGTCCTGTAGTAGTTCAAGAGAAGGCTCAGAACCGGGGGCTGCTCTGACCAGTCAGCCCCCCCTCAGCACCTGCCTGTGCCCAGGGAGGCAGCTGCACCCCACCTTGGGTTCTCACAGGGACCCCCACCCAGTGCCGAGGGGGAGGCACTTTTCACTGGTCTTATGAGAGGTCGACCTCGTTTACTGAGATTCCACAGGACCACAGCGCCGGTGCCACATCATCTGATACACGTCTACACCTCACGCTCCTGGAGATTTCAGCCAGTTGGCTAAACATTTGCATGTGGGAGAGGAAATTAAGGACCCCCACAAAATATTCCCATCTGAAGACATGTTTATTTGGGCGATCCCTGAGTCCCAGGCATGATCTTTGTGGGGGCCGGGAGGCAAGGGGGCGGGGGCGGGGGTGGATGGCCCTGCCCCAGGGGGCAGCTGAGGTGAGAACAAAGGCTTGTGTGACAAAGATAGGTCACAAAGGGCAGCAGGGGATAAATACGGCCGCGCAGGGGGTCCAGGCGGAGAGGGTGGGCATTTCTCTCACAGGCCTGTGGTCCTCAGCCTTGCGGGGACAGAGCAGGTGCAGACTCAGTCTGTGGTCTGTGCACCTGCTGGGTCCCAACGGCCACCTTCTGCACCCCTCCCCAACTCCTGTCTCTGGGAGGTGCCGATCACCCGATAGAGAGGGGTGAGGCAAGAGACCGCGGGAGCCCTGGTGTAGGTGGGGCAGCACCACCGAGGAGATCAGCCAGAGCTGGCATGGCCACGACCTGCGCGCTCCCCTACCACACGGCCAAGAGTGGTTCGGGGACCGGCATGTTCAACACAGCCATGGGGAAGCTGCAGCGCCAGCTGCACAAGGGGGAGTACGACATCTTCAGGCACGCGCCCATCTTCGAGAGCGACTTCATCCAGATCACCAAGCGGGGCGAGGTGATTGATGTACACAACCGCGTGCGCATGGTGACCGTGGCCGTGGCCTCCACCAGCCCCATGCTCCCCATGCCTGATGTCATGCTGCTGGCCCGCCCGGCCACCGGCCTTGAGGACCACGCGGGCCGGGCCCAGGCCCGGGGCAAGGGCCGCAAGGGGGCCAAGGCCTTGGAGCTCACCAGGCTCCTGCCCCTGAAGTTCGTGAGGCTCTCCATCCATGACCGAGAGAAGCAGCAGCTGCGTCTCAAGTTCGCCACCGGCCGCTCCTGCTACCTGCAGCTGTGCCCAGCCCTGGACACGCGGGACAACCTCTTTGCCTACTGGGAGAAGCTCACCTACCTCCTGCGGCCGCCCATGGACAGCCACAGCAGCACCTATGCCCTCCCGGCCGGGGACATGGTATGCATGCCAGTGTTTGAGGAGGAGGAGCTCCGTGTGGGGGAGGCAGATTGCCCAGGCAGGGGAGACCAGGACCAGGTCAGCATCAGGAGTCTCCATGGGGTCCCCGAGGTAGCTGGGGCCACCTCTGCAGCTTTTTCGGGGGGGGAAGGCATCCCCCAGGATACCCCCAAACCCATCCACGTGCACTATGTAAGCACCTCAAACACCAACCTTACAGAGCTCCCCCAAGACTCAGCCGCAGGGGCCATGACAGAGGCAGTGGCAGCAGGGGTGGTCCTGGACCAGCTGAGCCCAGCCTCCGCGGGGGCTGCCCAGGGCCGGGGAGGAAGCAGAAGCAACACAGCCCCCGCAGGTGCTGCTCCCGCGTGCCTGAAGAGGCTGAAAGCCGCCTTGGCAGGAGCCACAAGCCAGTCCACAGAAGCCATCGTGGAAGTGGTCACGGTTGAGGCGGAACCCACCAGCCAGGCTGTCAGCGAGCCGGCGAGCAGTCCGGGACATCCAGGTGAGGATCGTGACTGCTCCGCCCTGGCCCAGGAAGAGCAGGGGTGTGAAGGGGAGGGACGGCAGCGAGGGTCCCAGGGCACTGGCTCCCGCCAGGGGAGAAGAGAGAGGCGGGAACGGAGGGAGAAGGAGAGAACGCTCAGGAGCCGGCACCGCAGGGCCACCGAGAGCCACCACAAGGCAGGGGGGGACAAGATGCCGCGAAAGCTCCCCAGCGGCCGGCCCCTTCCCAACCGGAGAGCCTCAAGGGACGACAAGGAGAAGGGCCGCGGAGGCAGCAGGCGGGGCGCCGCACACAAGGGCCTGAGCCACGTATCGGTCACCAAGGAGTCCAGGTCCTCCCACAAGTCTGCCAGGAGCCTGTCCACCCTGAGCTCCAGTTCCGCCGCCAACAGGCTTAGCAGGGTCGGCTCCTTCCTGCGGAGTGTCAAGGCCAACCTCACTACTAAAGCCCTGGTGTCCCCTTGGGAGAGGGACCAGGACCTCCTGCCCCAGCCCGCAGGGGAGGCCCTCGTCCAGCCGGCAGAGAGCTGCCAGGGGCCCCAGGCCACGGGCAGCGTGCCTCCCGAAGACATGGACACGGTGACCATTGAAGTCCATTCGTAGGCCGGGGGCTGAGCTTTTCTGGCTGCAGTTTAAATAAAGAACCACAGAATCTGAGTGCGCGTGCTGCCCTCTGTCCGGGAGCCTGAGTTTGTGGCAGTGGCGACCTCACAGTGAGCCCTGTGATGTCACCATCTGGGGTCCTGGGGCCCCACACACCAACACACCCCGCACAGCAGAGCCATTGCTGCTCATCTGTCCCAGTCCTGGAGGTGTGCCCCGAGCCAGCCGGAGGCTCTGCCTCTACCTCCTCCCAGGAGGGGACTCATACCTCCTGCAGCTTCCCAGGGCAGGGAGCGGGTGCAGCAGCACGGGGCACAGCAGCACTGAAACTGGCACCCAAATAATAGTGACTAGCAGTTGCGCTTCTCCTCAGTATAAACCGGCGATGTTCTAGGAGACACCAGGTAGCAGAAGTAACTGGAAACACCCCAAGTTGGGTGGTTTCCATCCATGGGGTTGGAAATACAGAAGGATCTAGAGTGGGATTGTAGAAAGTATAGGGTTCTATACCTGAGGTTCTCCAGGGTGAAAAGGCAGAGACCGGAGGCCCAGCAACCCAGTGATGTGGTGATGAGGCTATTCCATGTGTCCAACTTTGAGTAGTGCCTCCCCTGAGGCCTTTGCTTCCAGTGGGGACGGTAGCCCCAGTTAGTGCACAGACAAATGCTCTGAGAAAGCTTGGGAGACTGTGGCCAAACAGCACCACAGACCCCTCCCCGATGCAAAGCCCTGTCTGAGGTGCAAGCAAAACCAAGAATTCCAGACAATCTGAGGCCAGGCCCTTCCCACCTCCTGTTTCCAAAATGTGACAGGGGCAACTGGGGACTGGGCATGGGTCCAGACCACCCGGAGCTGTCTGGCTCCCAGGCGTCTACCCCCAGGCGAGGCCAATCCACCTCTTGCCTGGAATTTCAGAGACTCTTCCTGACTGGGAGACCGACCTCCCCAGCTGCTCAGACAATGGCCACAGGATCAGGATGGTCTCCCCACGCCCAGACAACCAGCCCGCCCCATCCCGTGACTCCTGAGGGTGCTGCATGCAGGGTGCAGCCCTTGCTGTCCCAGAGGGGACAGCGGGCCCCAGGGGTCTGTTTCCTCCGGAAAAGCAGGCTCCCCAGCCGGGCAGGAGTTGGTAGTGAGTTATTCTTAAGAAGATGGGAACATGCCAAAGATTAGAGATGAATTGGCCCTGTGAGGAAAACAGCCTCAGAATCATTAACCAGAGCTGGGAGCAGATAGAGCTGCGGGGGGTTTAATGGCTCACTCCCGACCAGCCCTTGGCTGAATGGTGGGGAAGTCTTGGGAATTCCACACAGAAAGAAATGCAATAAAAACATCTGCATGGCACTTAGCCCTCTGAAGCTCTTTAATAACAGCAGGTGGCTCCAGAGCTTCGGGTTAATGGGGTGAGGGGCCCCCTCTCACTTCCTGCAGCACCCACTACCCGCTGGCCCCGTGCTCCACCCCGTATGCAGCCATGGGAGAAGAAGACGGGGTGTGGTCTTCGGGGAACAGGACTCACGTTTGGGGTGGGGGGTCTGGGACCTGGAGCCCTGGCCTCCCAGAGGAATGGGAGCCTGGCAGGGAGCGCCACCAGGCGCGAGGGCCCGTGCAAAGCTCAGACTCGAACAGCTCAGCCGTGACAGCGTTCCGGGATGGCTGGTTGCAGGCAGGACAGGAGAACCAGCAGCTGGGCCTCAGGTGGGGCTTGTGAAGGGTTGGAACTCGGGTGTCCACTGATGGGCAGGGAGCCCACAGGAAGCTGCTACAGCCATCCCGGCCATGGATGCGGCCCCCGCCACAGGTCCTTTTCCATCCGGCACCCCGTGTCCTGAAAGACAGGGAGTCACAGTTTGGGCCGACAGGAGAGAGGCTCATGGGGAGCAGGGATGATGGGTTGACCAGAGGTTAAGATACCAGGATAAGGCAGAAGAGGGGTGTGGGTCCTCAGAACCCAGAGGTGTCTGGAAAGAGGTTCCCTCTGCATCTGTGTGGGGGTGTTGCCGCCCTCATCCCTGGCTGGGGTTGCCCAGGAGAGCCCCTTGTGGCCATGTGCTGGCACTGCAGCTGGGACTTGAAAGAGGAGGTGCTGGTTAGCACCCTCCCAACTTTGTCACCCCACAACCAGCCTAGTGTTGCCCCAGGTGAGGGCTGTGTGAGGATGTCTTGTTCAGGCTCTTGGGGGTGCTGAGGCAGCATGTGGAGTAACCCATGAAATTGGTCATCTGGGAGGTGGGCTACTCCAGAGTCTAAAAGAAATGTGGGTGGAGATAGCACCAGGTCCCTCCAGACTGGACCCCTCAAGGGACAATTGGTGAGCATTTACTGTGGGCAAGATAGGAAACTAGCGACCGGGAAGATGTCCTCTGCCCCCCTCACCCTCACCCCACACACACGGAGGAGAGATCTGGGCAGAGAGAGGACAGACCAAAGTGCATACACCTGGTCAAGGGAACAGCGTGGAGGAGGAAGAGCAGGGCCTGGGAGAATGGGGGGCTCTGCTCACAGGTGCCAGAGAAGTGCAGCATGCCTGGGGTGGGGGGTGAGGGCAGGGGTGCAGTGTGAGGGCAAGAATCGGGGGTGAGGGCTGGGGCGGGAGGTGAGGGCAGGGGTTGAGGGCAGGAGTGGGGTGAGGACAGGGAGGAAATTATGCAGCAGGAGGGACGAAGCCACACATGGAGGACAGACTTAGATGCTGCCAAACTCCCTGAACCGCCATCTTAGTCCCTGCACGTGGGACCTGGAATCCAGGGGTGGGGTGCTCAGGCCTGGGTTCTCCAGGAGCAAAAACAAAGAGGTGTCCAGACTCCTCCCTTTGCCACCCCGGAGGACTGGACACTTGACGCATGTCTTCCACCGTCTCTTTGCTTTGAACATGAACGTTGTTCATGGCATATGGGGTGAGCTCAGGGCGGGAGACGAGGTCGGCTCCCAAGGCGACCCTGAGCCCCCAGCCACCGCCGTCCTCACCCCGAGGCCCACAACCATCCTGGCTCCCCACACCAGAGTGGAACTTCCCTTGCTCTCCGACCCCTTCCCGCATATAACTCCCAAGCTGGGCAAGGCTTTCCCGCCCTCCACATCAGTCACGCGGCCTGTCCTAACTGTCTGCACATCGGTGCCCGTAGCCACAGCTGCAGGGACCCCACAGTGTGAAACACCCCGTTATCCATTCTTCTGTGGTTGATGGGCACCTGGCATTTCCAGCATGGGGTGAGGCCTAGAGCCTAGAGCCTAGGCCTAGAGCCGTGACCACTTAGCACAGATGTATGGCTAAAACGTACAGCAGCATGAGGGGCAAACACTCGAGTAGACCAATGCGTGCATGTGCCCAGCCACTCCCCAAAGCAGCGTGGGAGGAACTCCTGCGACGCGGGACATTCTGGGTGTTCCCCATGCTCACCAACATTTATGGGTTTTTCAAATCTCCATTTTAGCCCATCCTGGTGAACTCCAGTGCCTTTTTCGTGATAAAATGTACTTGAAAATATAATTTGGTGATCTGTTGTCAGACAGCTCCCCAGCCTGAAAATGTGCAGATTTGCAAGGGCTGCTCATGGCGGCAGGCATGTACCCCAGAATCTCTCCCACCTACCGCCCTGTTTCTGGACCTTGTGTTTTAGAGCAAACTTGCCCCAAACAGTCCTCTTCTGGTTATGCCATGCGTCCTTCTATACCAGGGCAGGGCTTAGCTGGATGATTCTTCTGTTCCTCACAGGATCGAGTCAGGCTGAGCACTTGTCTGAGCTTCACTCACATCTGGTGACTTGGTAGAAGTGGCCAGAAGGTGGGCTCAGCTGGATGGGAGCAGGAATGTGATGGTCTCAGGTCGCCAGCTTGCGTCCCTCAGCAAGTATTTGAAGGTAGCCAGGTGGCAGCTGCTTCTGGCTGAACCTCAGAAGTGACCCAGCATAACTTCTAGCACTGGTTACAAACAAGTCACAAGCCAGCCTGGAGTGAAAGGGAGAGGAACTAGATTCCACGTCTTGACAGGGAAACAGCAAGATGATCTTGTAGAAGAGCACGGCCATGGCAATATCATCATGATTCTCCACGCAAAGTCCAGTTTATCATCCCGACCCATCCTAACAAAATGAACCTGGCCAGGAAGGACATGAGGGAATCCAGGGTCACCCCCATCTTCCATACCCGCCCTCCCCTTTTCAGCTGCTCTTCTACTCTCCCTCCCCCTCCCTATCCACTCTGTGCCTTCCTTCGCTGTCCCCATTTTGCTGGCTAAGTCCAGCAGGATGCCAACTGGACATTCCCGGCCCTTCCCCTGCCCTGCCCCCTGCCCGCCCCGAACCACAGCTCTGCAAGCTCCGTAACCCCTGGGTGCCTGGGGACGGGGACCTGGCAACCACAGCATTTCACACCCAGAGGGTCTCACTGAGTCCCAGATGCACTTGACAGATGAGGAAGTTGGAGCTGAGTGAGGAGGGACTTTCCCAGGGTCCTCATTCAAGTAAGCAGCAGAGCTCTGGCCAGCACAGCGCAAAAGCGAACCAGTGCACTCGCTGCATTTCTGACTTCCTGGAACAAACGGGGCTTGTTTCTGTTTCGCATTCGTCGCTTCATTGCAACGTCCGTTTGACCTCCTGGCCAAGGAGCTGGTGGGCTTCTGTGTCCGAGAAACCTGTCCTAGAATCCAGAGATGACCATCAGTGTAACCAGCCCCCTCAGGCCCCTTTCTGACTTTGACATCTGACAGTTTGCAGCCTCTAGACCAGGCTTGAAATTTTCTGGGTCTCTTGGGAAGGTGAATTTATTGGAAACTAGTGATGAAGTTGGGCTGAGGCTAAATCTGAGGTCACGTGGGGCAAGAAGACAGCTCTGCATCCAGGCCAGCGGCCAGCACCTCTGCCCCTTAGTCTGATTCCTTGGATGGCAACTCTGATGACAGGTGGTGAGGCTGGAGGGGGGACCCCAGGCTGGCTGCCAGACACCCCTAGCTCCCTGGAAGCAAGAGAAAGAGCTGGAGAGAAACTTAGGACGCTCTTGGGGCTGAGCAGCAGTGATCTGGAGAAAACCTGCTAAGAAATCTCGCAGGGCTCTTCTCGGTCTTTCAGCCACA